CCCCCTTTCATCTACAGGTAGTCCTCAACTTACAACAGTTTTCTTTAACGACTGTTTGAAGTTACAGCAGCGATGAAAAAAAAAGAGGCATGATCAATTTTCATGCTTAACAACCTTTGTAGCATCCCAGTAATCATGTGGTTCAACATTCAGATGCTTGGCAAACTGGTTCATGCTTAACGACCGTTGCTGTGTCCCAAGGTCATGCGAACCGCTTTTGTGACCTCTGGACAAGCAAAACCAACAAGGAAGCCAGTTTCACCTAGCCAGGTTGCAAAATTATCAACGGCAAGGATTTGCTTAACAACGATGACGAGAAAGGTGGTAAAAGGGGGCAAAACTCACTTTAACAAATGTCTCACTTAACAACAGAAACTTGGACCACAATTGTGGTCGTAGGTCGAGGACTACCTGTAGATGAAAGGGGGCTTACCTTATCCGTTATTTATTGATCAGATGCCCCCCTCCCTCCAAGGAGTCTCTGGGCATGATATAACTAAGCAATAAAAAACATTCCACAAAAACAGTTTAAAAGCAAGGGGCATGAATTAATTAACCCTCCCCAGAGGGAAGATATTAAATATAATGCAAGTCAGAGCACAGGCTCTCTATATAAGTAGAATTATTTAGCCTAATTCTTTGAAGTTGTAATCCACATAGGCTGGGCTGGTTATACAATAGAAGGCTTGGCTGGTTTGTGGTTGAGAATAACTGTTAAAAACAGGGTTTTTTTTGGAGGGGGAGAATACATTGCTTATGCATTCTGGGGAAAACATTACAATTTTAGTGGTGAAGTTAAGATTTAAAACGGAAAAAAAGTGAATTGGCCACACAATTCACATTTCTATTCAACTGGTGAAAATGCCCATCTTCCCATCATCAGTAATTCTTCTGATAGAATTACTATAGATCGTGATAGGGAAGTAAGAACTTTGCCTTTACAGCAGTACTTTAACAGGAGCTGCTTTTAAAGATAAGTTAGTTGGTTGCTTTTGATATGCTAAGCCCCCTGGGCCTGAAGAGTATCAAAAGCAATCCACACAAGGGCCCTTTAATGCACTTTCCTTTTTTCGCCCTTAAGACACTTGCCCTTAAGACACAACCAGTGGATGTTGATTTGCTCCAAGAAACCTGTATCTATTTTTTTAAGTTGAGGGTTCTGCAAATCCAGACTATCGGGTTAATGAAAGATATATTTTGGGGATCTCGAAAGGTTAGAGATTCAGGAATTGGGTTCTTTTCGACCTCACTAGGAGCTAAATCCGTTTTGGCCTGGATCTTAAAAGGAATTCCCACTGATTATTCAGGAGCAGAGCTGGTGCTTAGAACAAGGGACTGATGTCCAATCTCCCATTATTTATATGTATCTANGGGGGTTAATAATATTGTGGGGTCCTTGGTGCTTATTATAATTGTTAGTATTATTTACTATTATTACTATTATTAGTAGTAATAACAGTAATAGTAAATAGCGATAGTAAACAATAGCAATAGTAACAACCAGATATAACACAAGAGGACCCAAAACCCAAAGCCAACATATGGCTAACAGCGAGAGCAGCCATAAACAAAAAACAACCGCGGTTTTTCAACCCCCGGAGCCGAGCCCGATCGCCCGGCGGGCCGCCACTCGCCTCTGCCGCAGCGACTCCTCCTGCTCCTTGCCGTAGTGCTCCGGGTCATGCCGGTAACCGAAGTGATGCGGGCGCCGGAATCCGCTGTGCTCCCGAGAGCGAGACCGGCGGCTGCGGCTGTGCCTGGACGGGGAGGGGCTGGCCGAGCCGTTTTCTCGTGCCCCTCGGGGCCCCGGGGAGTCCAGGGGGCTCCGCGAACGAGACACGGGCCCCATGGCTGCTGAGGCGACCAGGCCTCGGCGGCTTTTCTAGGCCACAACATCGCGACTTCCGGTTTTCTGACGTCACATCCGGAAAGCGCCATACTACGCCGCCTCCGCCTTCCGATTTTCTTTTAGGAAGAGTCACTTCTGGCCCTAGAGGCACGAAAGGACAAGAGGTGCGCGCAGACTTCACTCCTGGCACCGCTTAAAATCCGATGCTCGGGATCCGGCTAGTTAGTGCTAAGCGCTATGGTGCAATCTTTCTGAGGGAGACCCGGTTTACTCATCCTGTAGCCTGGATCACTTTACAAGGGCGTCCGGAGCAACTTCGGACCCTTTCCTTCACAGGATAGCCTGCTGGGGGGGAAAAAAGTAACGGTCCTCCCGTTTCTCCTTCCCCCATTCTTCACTTCCGGCCCTGTGATCCGCACCCCGCTGTTCGATTTTCCCCTCAGCTCCTTCCCCCTCATCATAACAAAGCCGCCTAGGCTCCTTGGCGGTCACCGGGACCCTCCGTCGGCGGGGAAAAAAACCCGTTCCTCCGCCACTTCCGGTGGGTGCGCGTCCTCTTTCCGTCCGCCCGGCTCCCGCGGCGGTTTCGCTGGAGTTCCGCAAGGCGGTTCCTTTGTGCTCGGATGGGCTGCTGCTGCCGCCGGTGAGACGCGATGGAGCCGGGCGCCATGAGCGAGGCGGGCGGCAAGACTCCGGGTAAGAACCGCCTTCCTCGGAAAGACCAGGCCGGAGCATCGGAGTCGGGAACCGAGAGAGGGGGGGGATGAGGGACCCGGCTGAGCAAGCGATGCCCGCCCGGCCTTGTTCGCGGGAGGGCGGCGGAGACAGACGCGTGGCCGGCCCGGGCTTGGCTCCGGCTTCCCGCTAAGCCTCGTGCTTGGCTGGCTCCTCCATGCTGCCAAGCGGGCGAGAAGGCGGCTGGGGCCAAAGAGGCTGCTTGTCTGGGGGGGACTTACTCCTTTCTCCCTGCCCCGCCGGCCCGGGTGGATGCAATGGATACGGTTTCCCCGGTGCTGCTGTGCCCTCCAAGCGGAGCCTCCCCGGTGGGAAAGAAGGCTGGGTCGATCCCCCCAAGAAGCCTTTGAAGCATCGGGCCACGTTGCTTTTTATTTCAAACATTTTATTTTATTTTAATAGGATCCCATAGGATGGGTCTCCTAAAGGTGCTTTTTCCCCTATTCCCCAAGAAGCAACTGGACTTTCTGGGTGTTTTTTCCCCCACTACTTTTGAAGAGGTTTCGCTTCTCCTCCAAGAAGCTTCTTCAGCTCTGACTGGGATGGAATGGAAGGATGGAGGCTCCTGGCAGACAGAGCTGGTCATTGGCATCCTTTGGGATGAGAAGCGAAAGGTCTCCAAAGAAAAAAGGCAAGAAAATCCCAGTTGTCTCCTGAAAACAAAAAAAGGGACCTTTGGGATAAATGTCTTTGGAGGTTTCCCAGTTTTCCATGACGTGATTGTCCCAAAGGTGCTTTTTTTCCCCCAAGAGGCAACTGGACTTAGTGGTTTTTTCCTTTGGAAGTTGTTTTGCTTCTCATCCAAGAAGCTTCTTCAGCTCTAACTGGATGGGGATGAATGGAAGGATTTAGATTCCTTGCAGACAGCTGGACATTTGCATCCTTTTGGAAGGTCCCTGCCTTGAAGACAGATAAACCTCCAAGGGCTTCAACGACCCTTTAAAAGGATGCAAATTTCCAGCTCTCTGCAAGGAATCCTCATCCTTCCATTCCCTGCTCTCCTGTCAGAGCTGAAGAAGCTTCTTGGATGAGATGCAAAGCGTTTTCAGAGAAAAAACAGGAAGTCCAGTTGCCCCCTGAAAAAAATAAGCACCTTTGGGACAACCATGACCTGGATGACGGAGGATCTCNCTCTTTCCCTTCCTTTTTTCTCTTTTGTTTCTTCTCTTTTCTCCTCTCCTGTCTCTTCTTTTTCTCCTTCTTTTCTCTCTTTCTCTTCCCCCTTTCTCTCCTTTCCCTTTTTCTCCCTCTTTTATCTCTCTCCTCACTCTCTTCTCACACTTCCTTCTCTTTTCTCTCTCTCTCTCTCACACACTTTCTATTCTATCTATTTCTTTCACCCTCTTCTCTTTTCTCTTTTTTCTCTTTTTCTCTCTCTCCCTCCATTTCTCTCTCTCTCCTTCTTTCCCAAACTTACCAGCCTGGATTCTGACTCCCATGCTTCCCGGCAAGGGAACAGGATTAGAGGAGTAGACAGCTTACATAAGGAGGAGATCTGGAATGTCTCCTGGTTCCCTTCGCTTATCAGTTTGACAACTTGGTGCGTTGTGACTACAATAACCATCACCCCCCTGCTAGCAGGGCCAGACAATTCTTTTAAGGACTAGCTCGGGATAGAGGGAGGAAGAAAGTTGGCATTTTAAAGTCGAGGAAACAAATTGGCAACTCCTTTCCCCTTGCTGTTTTGATCTCCCCACTCAATTCCCCATTGGCTGGATTCTGGATAGGCTGCCGCTCCCATCATCCCCAGCCAGCAGGGCCGAGGGAGGGGTAATCCCGAAACAATGGAGGGTGTTTTATTGGACAGCCAAGGAAACTGGTTCTATTAGCGCTGACATTCGTGGCCCTGGAGGAATTTTTAAACTTGCAATACTTCCAGTCCTTTTGGCTTACAATTTCTATCCTCTGCGGCGAGGGATGGGATTTGGAGTCCCTCACAACCGGAAAGCTGTTGGGGCTGACAGGTGGGGCCGCAAACCGGCTGAGAAGAACCCGCTTGTCTAGACATGACCAAGCACTCTTTTCTTGAAGCTGGGCCATGTGAGGGGTTGAGCGAAGATGTCTGCAGCTTCCTTTCTGGACTGATAAAACCGACTTTGATATCAAAAGCCGGCCTAAGTTTTGGGGCTGTTTCAAAGAGCCCTGGGAGGGTGGGCGGGGGAAACACCTCTGAAAACTCAGATGGCACTCAATGCATGCTTCCGGGTCTCCCTTGCAATGCAATCAGGGCTTCTGGAACTTTCCACAAGGCCAGGAAATTTTAAGCAGAAACAACCTGAATTTGCAGAACTCGAGAAAAAAAATGAACGCAGTTGCACTTCGCGCTTCTTTCTGTCCGTGGCATGACTAAATCCAGCCACCTGGGCCCGACTATCCGCTTGAGTTCCTTGTCTAAGAAACAGGAATTAGCGCATATTTTTGCATAATTAACAACCTTCATTGTGATCTTGTAAAAAGCCGTGGGAACTAAGCTCTTCCTCCTGGTGGACAGGAGCTAAAAATGCCAGATTTCTTCTTTTATTGTTCCTGTTTCGTATTTCTCTGCCGCCGCAGCTGGGTCTGCTATTATTGCCGTAACACAGGTGGTCCTCAGCTTACGACAGTTTGCCTAGGGACCCTTCAAAGTTACAAAGTGGGACTTAATGACCGGTTTTTAAATAGTGATGACCTTTGTGCCACCCCCTACGAGCACGTGATCGAAATTCAGATGCTTGGCAACTGGCTCATGTTTATGACCGTTTCCGTGTCCCAAGGTCACGTGATCTCCTTTTGCGACCTTCTGACAAACAAAGGCAACGGAGAAGCCCGATTCACTTAGCAACCCGGATTATTAATGTCTCAACAGCAGTGATTCACTTAATAGAAATTAGAGAGTAGAGTAAAGTAGATAACAGAATAAGAATAGGAGTGGAGTGGATAATAGAAATAGGAGTGGAGGAGTGGAGTGGAGCAGAGTAGAGTGGATAATAGAATAGGAATAGGAGTGGAGTGGAATAGAGTAGATAATAGGAATAGGAGTGGAGTGGAGCAGAGTAGAGTAAATAATAGAACAGGAATAGGAGTGGAGTGGAGTAGATAATAAGAATAGGAGTGGAGTGGAGTAGATAATAGGAATAGGAGTGGAGTGGTGGAGTGGAGCAGAGTAGAGTAAATAATAGAACAGGAATAGTGGAGTGGAGTAGATAATAAGAATAGGAGTGGAGTGGAGTAGATAATAGGAATAGGAGTGGAGTGGAGGAGTGGAGTGGAGCAGAGTAGAGTAAATAATAGAACAGGAATAGTGGAGTGGAGTAGATAATAAGAATAGGAGTGGAGTGGAGTAGATAATAGGAATAGGAGTGGAGTGGAGCAGAGTAGAATAAATAATAGAATAGGAATAGGAGTGGAGTGGAGTAGATAATAGGAATAGGAGTGGAGTGGAGCAGAGTAGAATAAATAAT